AGTAAGAGTGGTGATAAAGGGCATCCTTGACTGGTTCCCGTTCTCAAGGGGAATGCTTTCAAAGTTTCTCCATTTAGGATGATGATGGCTGTTGGCTTTGTATAAATGCTCTTAATTATATTGAGGAATTTCCATTCTATTCCTATTTTGTTAAGAGTTTTTATCATGAACGGGTATTGGACCTTGTCAAATACCTTTTCTGCACTGATTGATAAGATCATGTGCTTCTTGTCTTTTGTTTTATTTATGTGATGGATTACATTGATTGTTTATCTAATGTTGAACCATCCCTGCATACCTGGTATGAATCCCACTTGATCTTGGTGAATTATTTTTCTGATATGTTACTGAATTCTGTTGGCTAGAATTTTATTGAGGATTTTTGTGTCAATGCTCATGAGGGATATTGGTCTGTTATTTTCTTCTTTTATGGTGTCTTTACCTGGTTTTGGTATCAGGGTTATGCTGGCTTCATAGAATGAGTTTGGGAGTATTCCATCCTTTTCTATGCTGAAATACCTTTAGTAGTCGTGGTGTTAACTCTTCTCTGAACGTTTGGTAGAATTTTCCAGTGAAACTGACCATGACAGTAACTTTTTTTTTTTAGTATTACAACAATACAAAACACCATGAGGGTGCAACCAGCAAAATCCAGACTGCAGGAGACTCTACAGAACAAATGACAGAGCTTCTTCTTCAACAGCATGAACAAAAAAGTAGCAAGACATTAAAAAGAGAGATGAACAGAGAACCTATAAAATAAAAGAGACATAAGAGAATGTTGAAATATATCAACCAGTCTCAACATACGGACCTTACTGGGATCCCCATTCAAACATGCAAACTGAAAACTGGGGAAAGTGAACACTGGATATTTGATGATACAGAGAAATTATTGTTAATTTTATTTTAGTTGTGATAATAGTATTGGAATAACTTTTTTTGAATAGAGTTCCTATCTTTTAGAGTAAATAATGAAATATTTAAATAGGAAATGATGTGAGCTCTAAGATTTGCTTTAGAATAATGTGGGGAAGAGATGGGGTATAGATTAAGCCATATTGGCCAAGAACAGGTAAAACAGATGAAATTCATTATTCTATTGTATGTCTGACATTTTTATGATAAAAATAAATTAAAAGACTGGATCCTTTTAAAAAGGTGCTATTTTTAAAAAAGGTATATCCCACGATTGCTGTATTTTTATGCAAATGATGTGTCTGTTTTTCTATTTTTGCCAACCACAGGGCCCCCCACCCAAGTATTTTCATAAGTGTGCTGTGCTAACTTTTTTACATGTTGCTGTAAAAAATTAGCATAAATAAATAAACATTTAACAAAGTAAAAAATACACTACAATAAAAAAATCAAAAGAGACAGTAACTTGGGAAAAGTTTTGCAATATAAGTCTAATGACTAATTTCCTTTATATGTGAAGAATAGTACAAATCAATAAGAAACACCAAAAATCCAACAGAACAATGGCGAAGGCAACAAACAGGCAACGCACAGAGAAAGAAACACACGGCTTACAGACCTCTGAAAGGGTGTTTGGCTTCATTGAAGATGAAAGATAGGCACGTTCAGTCAGCAAGATGCTGCTCTTCACCCTTCAGACAGGGGCTAAGATCAAACAATCAGATGGCACACACTTCCAGCGACCGTGTGGGAACAGCACTCTCAAACACAACCAAGGGCAGTGTAACTGGCCCCCTATTTGGAAGGGGGACTTCTGGAGATGTCATCTGATAGACGGCGTCATGATGGACATCTGGCATCATCCATCAAAGTTAGCGTGCTGGCGGCCTGTTACCCCGCGAGAGCTAGGAACTGCTTCTATAGGAGAACTCACACGTGGACACAAAGACAGCCACAAGGCTGCTCGCTCCTGTGCTGGCTGGAAGCCACCTAACAGTCAGTCCACAGCTACGTCCTATGTAACAGAATCCTCTGCAGCCGCTGAAATAATTACATGGACCCAAAATTGGCCAACTACAGAACACAGTCCAATACAGTGCTAGAAGATGCGGCCCCTAGGGTGGAAGGCACTCAAAACACCCAGTGGCTCCAACAACGGACTCGAGCAGAACAATGAAGACGGTGCAGGACTGGACAACATTTCATTCTGTTGCACACGGGGTCACCATGAGTTAGAGACGACTTAATGGCAACTAACAACAATAGCTGTTGTTTCCGAGCTCTACCAATAAACGAAAAGGCAAAATGCAGACCCATGCGCCTAGGGCAATATCTATTTTAAGAAAAGAGTCTGTCTATAGGCTTGTATCTGTCCAGGAAATTTCTAGAAGGATTCACAAGGAATTTAACAGGGGCTTCCACTGCGGACAGGGACTAGGGGAGAAGTACTATAGGGATTTCAAGGGTAGAATTCATTTTTCACTCACAGCCTGACTTAAGCACTGTTCTGTGACGTTTTTAAAAACCTCCGTGGAATACTTCATATTCTAAAGTATGTCTAATCCCTATTCCTGTTGACTGCAAACTACATAATTTTGTTTGTAAAAAGAACAAGTCATTTTGGTCTTCATAATCCCCCTTTGGAACCTCCAACTCCCTCTGGCCCTACAGGTTTGCTTTATCCCTGCCCTCCTGCCAACAGCACCCCTATATCCCAGGCACCCAGCCACCAGGCCTGTGCTAGGGCTCAGGAGCACCCACCCCATTCTCACAGGCTACAGAGAAGAAGGTGTGAGTTGTCCTCATCTTAGGAGTCTGACCTGAACAGGTTTCACCCCAACTGCTCACCGTCAGAGAAAACCAAGGGTCCGACCCTAAGTGTCAATGTATGAGACTAACAAGTTGGCTGTGTCCTTGTGTGACAACCTGAGAAGGAAGGTATGAAGGGCAAGCTCGGCCCAGGCCTGGAAGTTCAGGGACTGGGGTCCCCACATTTCCCACGCCGCCAACACAGAGGCTGGGGAAGCTCACATGGTGCAGACAGAACATCAAGGGCCCCAGGGCCTGAGACTCGAGACCACGCAGCACTTGGTGTGAGTCTAGAGCTGCTGGCAGGGTGGTGAGTGTTTGGTGACATTTCAGCATGGGCTTTGGCTGCTGGATTAAGTGTGATCAAGAGAACACGTTACTGGCCTTTGCTATTTTGTACTGAAGCTGCTGCTGTTAGGTCTCATTGCTTCGGACCAGCATCTTGGGTTTAACAAGCACATTTTTAGCTTTATAGAAAATCTGGACTTTTACAACATATACTCGTTGTTATGGATTCAATTGTGTCTCCCCAAAAAAGTTATGTGGAAGTCCTAGCCTCTATACCTGTGAATGACCCTATTTGGAAATAAGGATTTTCTTTTGTTGTCTTAATAAGGTCATACCAGAGTAGGATGGGTCCTAAACCTAATCCTTTTTCTTATAAAAAGGGCAGAATAGACACAGACACATACAGTGGGAAGACGCCATGTGCCATCTACAAGACAAGGATTGCCACTGGCTACTAGAAGCCGAAATAGACAAAGAAGGACCTTCTCCGAGAGCTGACACCCTGAATTTGGAATTCTAACCTCCTGAACTGTGAGAAAATAAATGACTGCTCTTTAAAACCATACACTTCTGTTCTCTTCTTGCCAATCAATAAAAAACATTTTCTGTCAAGTCAATTCCAATGCTTGGCGGCCCCATTTCTGTAGAGTAGAACTGTGCTTCACAGGGTTTTCAGTGGCTGATTTTTCAGAAGGAGATCACCAGGACTTTCTTCTAAAGCGCCTCTGGGTGGGCTCGAACCACCAAACTTTTGCTTAGCGTCTGAGCATGTTAACCATTTGCACACCCAGGGACTTACACCTCAAAAACTGTAGCTAGCCAGCTGGGCTGAAATCATCATGACCTGTTGTGATTTGATGAAAAACATTTGAACCAGTTAAAGCTTACTTAAAACCACATTTAAACTGCTGGACAAAACTCATTTATGCCTATTTGAATTGGTTAAAGTAGGTTCATGTCTATTTGGATTGTATAATATTGGCTCCAACAGTTCAAAACTATTTTTATCCAATTTGAGCAACACTGAGCCAGTTTACAGCAGTCAAAACTGGTTTGAGCCAGTTAATCTACTTTTAAACCTGTTTAAGCTGGTCTTAGCCTGGTTCAAACAAGTTCCTTGAAGGGAAATCTGGGGTGGGAGGACCCCTTCAGTTCTCAGACTTCAGTTCTCTACTAAGTAAGAAAACCAGAGTGGGAAAGGTTTAAAGGTTTACAAGTCATTTATTTCTGAAGATTAATTTACCTTGTTCTATAAATATTCATAAAAATTACCAGCTTACTGAAAGAAGTAATAAAATTCACATTGTTTATTATAACACACCAGCAGGGGCACGAAACATCATGTTGGCAACAAGAAGGATCCCAATTAAGAGACTTTTCACTCTGATGTTGGACCACTAGAAGAAATCTCCAGAAACTCCTAACCGAGCCCCACGAGGCTACTACATGCACTCAGATGATGCAAAGGGGGTCCTGTCAGCAACAAGCAGGCATTCTCCCCACATCAAAGAGTGATACAGGACAGTGCCATCAGTGCTGTTCCTTACTGAGTGCTGAAATGCAATATTAACCCCCACAAAAAAATAAAATGAAATAAAAGAAGGGAGGGCAGAAGGAAATGGAGATTCTAAAAAAAAGAACAACAGCCTGAACACTGATGCAATTGTATCCACCATGATCAAAGTGTTATTTCATAATAAGCTGTATATACAGGCACATTTCAGTCTATTAATTCAACCATGAAGGTCACGTGTGATGCGGTTAGTGAGGGTGTAAGTAATGACATGTCGACTGTTCCCCGCATAAGCAGGCCCATCCCCACTACTAAATAGTCTACACAGCCCTCAAGTCATCAAATGCCTAAGCACCTCACGCCGTGACAGCACTGTCTTCACCTTGGAAGTGTGCTTTCCACACAAGCTTTGCAGGATAAACAAAAAGTAAAAGTACCGGCCCACCGAGAGAGAAAATTCAAAGTCACTTACCAGCCACAAAGCTCGGAAATGATGCCACCTTCTTTGTCTGTTTTGAAATAGGGAAAAATAAAACACATGACAGTTGTAACAGATAACATCTAACATGAAAAGCTAAGCCCCATAAGTGCCTGGTGTTCCCCAGAGGTCAACTCTACACAGCAAACCAGTCTCATTCAGGCAATGTGATACTGGGAGGGGGCACATGGAATCAGTTCCCAGTGGAAAGCTTGGGGCATGGAAGCCCACTATCTAAAGACCCTCAGACTGGCGTGACACTGCCAGAAGGGGGCCTCGAGACCACACAGCCCAGTGGCTCTCCCACGGGTGGCATCAGAATTGCCTGACACATGTTTAAAAGCAAGATAAAGGGGTGGACCCCACTCTGTGGGTGGCATGCTTTTCATCAAAGTTAAAAAAATCTCATCCAAATTATGTTCCCCAGAAAAGGTAAATAACTTGCTTAAGGCCTCATTTTAATAGTTTCTACCCTGGCAGGCTTACTTTATTGAAGGACTGTTTTTTAAAATTCTGTTGTTGGTTTAGAACAGTGGTTCTCAGTAGGGATGATTTTGTCCCCAGGGGACATTTGGCAATGTCTGGAGACAGTTTTGGAGCCCTGGTGGCGCAGTCATTAAGAGCTTGGCTGTTAACCAAAAGGTCAGCAGTTTGAATCCACCAGCTACCCCATGGGGCAGTTCTACTTTGTCCTATAGGGTCACTATGAGTCAGAATCAACTCAACGGCAACAGATTTAGTTTTGGGGTTTGGAGACAGTTGTGGCCATCATGACTGGGGGAAGAAGGTCCTATATATTTAGCAACTAGTCGGTAGAAACCAGGAATGCTGCTAAACATCCTACAGTGCACAGGCAGCTCCCACATCAAAGAATTATCCAGCCTGAAATGTCAACTGCGCCATTTTTGAGAGGCCCTGGTTTAGAACCCAGTTATCAGGCCATGCAGTAGCATGAGTTTCTGCCATGCACCATCAGCAATACCTGGACACACCATGGTGTGGTCCTGGATCAGCAGGAACGGCCCTCATCTCCTCCCCTACAGGGACACCCTGGTTGCCCTCTCCCTTGGGCACCTGGTGGGATGGGAACATCAGGGAGAGGGTGCGTGAACAGACCATGGGTGAGCAGCTCCAACAGTAGGGCCCTGCCTCATAATGACCTTGGAACTCCCATCCTTAGGAAAAAATTACCTCTGGAATGTTGTTATTGTCAATGGGTCCGTTGAGATCAGAGCGCTGCTGCTTCCTCGGCTGCTCCAAACCATTGCAAACCTGGAGACCAGAAGTTAAAGACGGTGTGTTTCTATGCTAGACAAATAAACCAGGATATAAGACTGGATGCACATACATGTACAGACATGCAACATGATACCAAGTTTGTAAAACGCATGTGCATGTGTGCGTATATTGAAGATGCATGTATAAATATGTATTTTATCTTTAAACTTTTCTTCAATTAACGTGTTTACTTTTATACTTCTAAAAAAGTTCTTAAATCACATTTTTAAAAAACCTGAATTTTCCACTGAGAACAAATCCAAATCAGCAAATCTAATTTGCCCCAAAGACATTTCTTCCTAAGCCTTCTCTTAAAGAAGGCCTCAAGCCATAATCTCCTTTATTTAATAAAATTTAAGGTTTAGGTCTTCACACAGGATCAATAAGCAACATCACGATAAACAGAGAAAAGATTGACATTGTCAAGGATTTCATTTTACTTGGATCCACAATCAGCACCCATGGAAGTAGCAGTCAAGAAATCAAACGATGCTTTGAACTGGGCAAATCTGCTGCAAAAGATCTCTTTAAAGTGTTAAAAAGCAAAGATGTCACTTTAAGGACTAAGGTGCGCCTGACCCAAGCCGTATCATAGTGTTTTCAATTGCCTCATACGCATGTGAAAGTTGGGCAATGAATAAAGAGACCAAAGAGGAACTGATGCCTTTGAATTATGGTGTTGGCAAAGAATACTGAATATACCACGGACTGCCAAAAGAATGAACAAATCTGTCTTGGAAGAAGTACAGCCAGAATGCTGCTTAGAAATGAGGATGGTGACACTTCGTCTCACATACTTACTTTGGACACGTTATCAGGAGGGATCAGTCCCTGGAGAAGAACATCATGCTTGGTAAAGTAGAGGGCAAGTGAAAAAGAGGAAGACCCTCAACGAGATGGATTGACAAGGTGGTTGTAACAGTGGGCTCAAGCTTAGCAACGCTACATGAGGACGGCGCAGGACTAGGCTGTGTTTCATTCTGTTGTATCCAGGGTCACTGTGAGTCAGAACCGACTCAACGGCACCTAACAACAACATACTTTCTCCACTTGTGCCACCTTGAAGCCAGAAGCCAGATCCAGTCTGAGCAACTGAAACTGAAATCAATGTCCAGAGAATCAAAAGGGGTCTGGGGAGCCAGTATGTTAAGTCAAGTTCTAGAACTTCCTAGACATAAGTTATTTATCAGTAACAAGATAATGATGACAATGACAATGCTGCTGCTGATGCTACATTTACCTAGTGCTTTAGGGTTTACAAAGCCCTTCCATGTAAGAGATGGATATTCCCACTCCTCCTTTACAGGTGAGAAAACTAGAGCTCCAAGTGTTGGAGTTAACTGCCGGGTTCCCCCAGCGCTTAGGTGATACAGCAAGGTGTAGCTGCCAGTCCTTCTCCCTGCCCTGTCCTGTGACTGTCAAGTTCCTTGATGTAGGTTAAGCTCTCAGGGGATGTAGAGAAAAGGTAAAGGGCCTGGTGCCACCCACCCAGCCCTGAGAACTAAAGTTACACACACAGAACAGCCAGAAGGATTGCTAGAAAAGTGCACATCCCTGAGTACACACCTCACTGGACTTCAGAGGCAGAAAGGGTGGAAGGAGATGGAATGGATAGGGCAGGGCTTTAAGGAAAGGCCTTTGAGGGTGGGGAGGATTTGAACACAGAGGAAAAAGGGAGGATATCACCACATCTCATAAAAAATCTGGACACAAGCTGCACAGGGCTGGCCTTCCTGGAGCTAAGGGGTGGCAGGACAGTGGAGCCCAGGCAAGTCTGATGTGGCTGGCCCCGGCCTCCCAGCCCCTCTGCTAGAAGCCCAAAGGACTGTCCCTGCCCGAGCCCTGAGAGCTCTCAGGCAGCTCTGCCCTGTCTCTGCTGTCCTGGTATGTCTCCCAAGGCAAAGCTTCTGGCTTGTGTGGACCTGCTTGCATGCTCCTCGGTCCTTCATAATCCTCCTTCCCAGAACCTGATCTGATCCCTCCCCAGACAAAGAGGCCGGGATCCACTTGGGGCCCCACTCCCCAGTGACACCAGTGCTGACCAAGCTGAGTGACAGGGCCCTTTTCTGCGGGGCTGGGGCTGGACCCCAGACTATTCCTCGAAGGGCCCTTCTAGAACCAGCCTTGTTGTCTGAACTCCTCTCAACTGCCCCCACCCTGGATCTGTACTTCCTGCTATGACCCAAGTACACCAGGCAAAATTTCCCAAAAAGGAAATTACAAAAAAATCTCCCCCACGTGCTGCTCACATCTTTCTTAAGCAAACTTCGGATTTGGGACACCCACATGGACAACTCGTGGTTGAATACATGTTGCTATTTCAAGGTCCACTTGGAGCATGTCACTATTTTGTCATCTTGTTTGAAAGTTCTCTAACATAACCTTCCCAAGACTGAGTTCACGGACTTCGTTCCTGAAAACCTACACTGCTGTACTAGAAACTGAACTGGCACTAGTAATTTCCAGAAAAACCCTAAGAAACTTACTAACCAACAGAAACTTGCTAACAATACCCCTTTTACAAGTGTTACAGCTCAGGGAGGAATCTAATTTTTCAGGGAGAAGAAGGGCCAGGATGCAGAGCCACGGACTCTCATTATGGTGCCAGAGAGCACCATGGGAAAAGAAAATGGCAGCACTACTGCTCGCCTTATGGTGCTGTCATGGATTGAATTACGTCCCTCAAAAAATGTGTATATCAACTTGGTTAGGCCGTGATTCCCAGTACTGTGTGGTGGTCCTCCATTTTGTGATTGTAATTTTATGTTAAAGAGGATTAGGGTGGGATTGTAACACCTTTACTAAGGTCACATCCCGGATCCAATGTAAAGGGAGTTTCCCTGGTTTGTGGTCTGCACCACCTTGTATTTTACAAGAGATAAAGGGAAGCAAGCAGAGAGTGGGGGAACTCATACTACAGAGCGCGTCCTTTGGACCAGGGGTTCCTTCGCGGAGAAGCTCCTAGTTCAGAAGAAGGTTGATGAGAAGGCCAACAGAGAGAGAAAGTGTTCCCCTGGAGCTGATGATCTGAATTTGGACTTCTAGCCTACAGACTGTGAGAAAATAAATTTCTCTTTGTTAAAGTCATCCACTTGTGGTATTTCTGTTATAGCAGCACTAGATGACTAAGACAGGTGCCTTTGGCAAATAGAAGAGGCATCCCGTGTGGGGGTTCAGGGGCTAGAGCTTGGCCAGCCTCTGTGCCTTTGTGTGGAGAAAAAAGCATCTCTCCCTGCTAAAGGGCACAGCTTCAGGCCAGAGAAATGGCTTGGCCAGAGGGCACAGGCTGGATGCCAGCACACCATGTCCCCTCTCCAGGCCACCATGATGCAGGGAAGGCCACAGTAAGGAGCATCCCTGGGAAACACGAGGACTCAAGCCCACTTTAAAATGGGAACTCTTCTCCAAAGCTTATACAGCATTTTCTTTAACTCCCTCCAGACCAAGGGTCTACTCATCACCATAACAACCACAGCTCATACTAAACAGCCTGGGCTGTTTCGAAGAGAGGCAGGAGGGCGGGCTTCGGATGCTTCTCCTCGGGGGATCCCATCTGGTGCTCTAATTTCCACCTCAGGGCCTTGGCAGCACACAACGGGTATCTGAAATTAGCACCGCTAGAGATCCACATGGACTTGGGGTGCCAGCATCTGAGATAAAGATGCAGAAGCCTCAAAACAAGACACCAGCCCAAGTTACCCCTATCCTTCACAGCAAACAGGGAAAGCAGAGTCACAGCCCTACTAGATGACTGTGGGGGTCATTCTCAATGTCACGCAGAGAAGGTGGTGAATAAAACACGTGAAAAGGCAGTGGTGGGTCAGTGGCAGAATTCTTGCCTTCGATGTGGGAGACCCGGGCTCAATTCCCAACCAATGCATCTCAAGCGCAGCCATTACTCATCTGTCCATGGAGGCTTGCCTGTTGCTATGATGCGGAACAAGTTTCAGTGGAGCTTCAGACTAAGATGGACTAGGAGGAAAGGCCTGATGATCTACTTCCAAAAATCAGCCAGTGAAAACCCTATGGATCACAACAGTCCAGTCCACAACTGATCATGCGGATGGCGCAGGACTGGGCAGGGTTTTGCTCCGCTGAGCGTGGGGTTGCCATGAGTTGGGGGCTGACTTGATGCCAGCTAGCAACAACAATAATGTCAACAACCGCAGCTAACAACAACAACAAAGTAATTGAAAGGTTGATGTGAAGTGAAATCTGCCCATGTGGTGGGGACGGCCCCTGGAGCTATGGTAGAAACTGTTCATCAAGTGGCGGGACCCAGTGACAGCTGTTCAAGGCAGAGGTGACTTGTCTGTGATAAAAACATACTAATTTAAATAAACTTCTAATAAATATCTTGGCTTCAGTTGGTGGAACGAAAGCTAGGATTCTTTAAAGTGTCAATTCTGATTTTGTCAGCTTGGTTAAACTGAAAATACAGCAATACAATCCACATGAAATAACAGCAAACTAGCTCACACCCACCCACATGCACACCATCTGTAATCAGAACAGACTACTTCCAAGCATTCCCGAGTGACAAATGAATTATGAAGATATGGCGGAGCTCTCTAGTTAGGGGACCAAGGATGTCAACTCAAAGCGAGGCCAGCCACAGTGTTCCCACGGGACTGTCTGCTCTCATCTCACATGGGAGCCCATGTTGGAGGAATTCCAGGTGGATGAGTTGCTCATTTAGGTGACAGCCTTATCTGGGGATCATTTCATGCTCCTTGTTTTCAAGAGTTGATCATCCCAACTCATCTGGTATTACAAGGATTCTAGCCTCTAAGTCAGGAGGGAAGTGAGCCCCAGGCCCGGGCCCCGCTGCACAAAGCCCCAAGTGGAGCCAAGTGCATCAATCATGAATAAGTAACCTGTTGCCATGCAGTCGACTCCGACTCACGGTGACCCCTTGTGTGTGAGAGTGGAACTGTGCTCCACAGGGTTCTCAATGGCTGGTTTTTCAGAAGTAGATCACCAGGACTTTCTTC